ATATATTCCTATTTTCCAGATTTTCCAGTAAAATAATTAAGTGCTGCACTTTAGATTGAAGGTGAAAGTCTGGGAGATGGAGGGGTAAATTAGATAACTGTAAATCTAGAGACAGTTAAAGGTGATGGACGAGGGCACAATGGTAATGAAGACACAGCTACAGATCCCCCCGGGACCATATATCTGGATTAAAGACTGGTGTGTTCTTGTAACTGCTGTTCAAATCCACATGCCCCCTCATCTCCATCTCTCTGCAGGGCATGAGGTTTGTTGGTTTAAGTTCCTTTCCTCCACATCTTTTCCATCAGCTCTGAAATATTCATCCCTTGCATCCTAGCTACTCTGCCCCTTCCTTTCTGTGAATCAGGACACAAACTCCATTTCAGCATCCCTCTTGTCAGCACTCCCTCAAAAGGCTCCACCTGTACTTTCAGGTTCCCAGTAAAATCTTTAGCTGTGTCCTTTCTAATCCTATTCCCCTGGTTTCACTGAGGGACACTCCAGAGCTTTAGACAATTATAACTCAGAAGTTCCTAGCTCTTATCTATGCAATCATATCAGGAATAAGATCAATTTTATCTGTGGGAGAAATGGCAGAGAAATAAACCATTGCTTCATGTTGGTTCCTGTGGCTTCATTCTCCAGATCAGGCAGGAGACTACGTGCTGGGAATCCTCTTTTCTATTGGAGCTAACCAGATCACAGTCATAAGAAAGGGCACTTTAAGGAATGTCAGACAAAGGACACGAGGGGACACATCTTAGCAATAAAGTTCCTTACCTGGAAGAGTGGGATTCCAATGGCATGTTCTGCTGCCCTTCATACTGCTGCACCAGTGCTCGGACACTCCAGTAGGGGTTTTTCATCTCCTCATCCATGCTGCTATTTCTGGAGATAATAATCATAGAATGAGGGAAGCCCCACCTGACAGGAGCAGAAATTCTTCTTGTCTCCAGGAAAGAGGGTAGGAAAGCTAATGAAAGGAAGGTAAGAAGGAGGGGACAGCTAGAAAACTGCCAATTAAGAAAATTCTCCTATCAGGGAGCTCCATCCCAACTTCTTGGTGTGAGGGAAACACAGGCAAACAGGCCCTCCCCTTTTAAACTCATCCCTAATTCTGTGACTAGAAAACTACAAATTGTCTGGGAAGGCAAGGAAAAGAACAGAATTTGCAAATAGCAGAAGGACTGGCTTTTCTGAAGAACTTCTGCCCAAGGCCTTTGCAAGAGAAACCTTTAACATTCATTTTTTCAACAAAATACACCATTTCAACCTCATTTCCAAACTGCTTCATGGGTACTCCCTTGAGCCAATATAATATGGGCAAATGACCTTCGCTGTGTAAGTTAAACCCCCAATAGACCACCATCTGGCTTCCATTTAAATGTCATTACTATTATTATTATAATCCACATAGCACCTTTTGCAAGTCTTAAACGTGCTTTTCAGAATTACACATTCCTTCTGTACGTGGATCATCTTCCTTCATTATCACCAGAACTCCTCCACTTACATGGTAGGCTGCATCAGTTGATTAACAGCACACAACACTGCATCTGCCTATATAGCAGTAAGTGTAACACTGGGGTGAACAGCAATGCAGAAGACAGAATGGACTTGTACAACAGGCTCAATGCCTCAATTCTGGAAGTAACTGCTCCCAGATCTACAACCAGTACCTCTAGTTAGGACCTTACTTTTGTTTCACTTGAAATGAGAATGTCTCCAAGTAGACAGCATCAAGAAAGGGCACTGTGTCTAGCAAGAAATGGGGAAAATGAGGCAGCAGAGTTCCCTCTGGCTTGGCCATAAAGAACTGTTTTTTTCCAGTGAGATAACAGAGATCCAGCAGTTATTTTGCTGTAAAATCTGAAAAGAACCTGGGATACCTACAGTCTTCATCATGAGGCAGCCAGGCTAAGTCAGTACTCCCCTTTGTTAGGCCACTACTTATTTAGGTTTCAGAGAGACAGCAGTGGTTTGTCTCTATTTGTTAGCTACCTTACACCAGGAATTATCAGGATAAAGAGGCATCTGTTTTAAAAGAAATTGTGTCCATCTGCTAATGTGACCTGAGCTCACTTAACCAGGGAAAACTCATTACCTCTGTCTGTGCCGGAAAACATCCCGGCCGGATTGCAAGACATCTTGACGAACATCTGCCAGAGCAGTCACCGCCCCTTGGGCCACTGCAGCAGCTGAGCGAGGCCTGTGACTGGCAGACGATGCTGACAAGCTCTTCCCCACCACACCAGCAGGGCTATGATTCATTGCTCTCCCGGAGCCTGGTTTGAAATGAGCAGCTAAGGCCAAGATCAACCTCATGATAGATTTCAAGTTCCCATCAACAATATCTGCAAAATGCAAATAAAGCCAAGGACAATGCCATTAATATGAAGTCACACCAGAGCTGTATCTGACCAACAAGCATGACACAATTAGACCCAATGGGACCATGCCAGTAAATGAGGACTATGCAAGAAGGACTGCATCACAGCGCTGATGCTTAGCCCTGCTTGTTTTGTGTGTCACAGAGTCTCGTGCCTGTATCCTATCCTATGACTACATGACATCATTTCATTGCATATCCAGGTTGATACCTTTGCTTATGTAAGATTTTTACCAATATTGCTATCATTTCTATAGTCATAAGCTCATAAGACAACTTGCAACATTACTGAAAGAAACAGTACAGCCTCCAATCTGCCAGTAGCAGTACTGTGGGAACAGTACTCATTACTCTATACTTAAATTCTAAGTCTCTCACCAAGGCCTATAAACCAACAGCTTGTACTCTTCTGCTAACAAGGGTCATGCACTTCATGTAGTACATCTCAGCATTTTTCCCCTCTTTCTCATCTTTCTCATCACCACAGACAATCAGAACTGTATCCCCTCCAAGTACAGACAGCAAACAGTACGGATCAGGGCCTGTCTTCTACCCCATAGATCTACACACACACACCAGCAATCCGTGTGATATCTGACTAAACCATGCCATAGACATGCGATTTTGCATATTGGGTCTCCTCTCTATTTACAGGCCATGCAAAACAGTATCACAGGCTTCCAGTGGACCAGAAATATTTTTCCTATGTCTCATTTCACAGTAGCAGGTTTATATGTCCTTTTAGTGAAAGATTCTGAGTCTGTATTCCTCATTACACCATTACTTGATCTTCTGACGGCTCAGTAGCAGGAGAAAAGGCACTTTTGTTTCTGTGCACTGTGCTGCTACCAAAAGCAGTCAAGAACACAGTATCATTCAACCCAAAACCTGTTACTAAACCACAAAAGGGAAAAAAAAACCTCCCCTACAAACCAATACATTATCTGTTTGATATGAAACAAAGATAGAAACAGGCCTTCAGCAAATAGAATCATCCATGGCGACCGCCAGGGGCACATACCTTTTGCTGATGTCTGATGCATGCGGATCTTTTTTGATGCCACGAACTGTAAGACTTTTTCCACATTTTCCCTCATCTCCTGCTGGCTGGTGGGGTTGACCTGAATGCCATTCAACTTCTCACCAGCTAAAGGAGTGAAAAAACTTTATTAGAGAAGAACTGAACTGCTTGGTGCTGTCACAGGAATTGCTATAGGTGTAGGGCCTGATCTTGTCTGGGTACTGCAAGAAGCATGCATGGCTTCTTGTCCTGCTTATAAGGTATCCAGTACCAGGAATAGAATCATAGAATCATTAAGGT